TGCCATAGAATGGTCTCCTGACTGGAGCGCTGCCAGGACCAGCTCAGGCCCAGGTCACAGCGCAATCCCATGCCCTCAGAGGAAGGTGGGATGGACAGAAGGCGGTGTCCCAGCTGCAAGTACAGCCAGGGCCAGCAGAGACAAAGGCCTCGAAGGAACGGTACCAAATGATCATCTAGCTGCCTCTGAAAATAAGATAATTAGAAAATGTTTTTTCTCTCCTTTTTGAGGCAAGGTCTTGCTATGTAGATCAGGGTGGCCTCACATGGCAATCCTCCTGCCTCAGCCTCCCAAGTGATAGAATTACCTTGAGTTTGACAAATTACCTGTAATGGATATCTAGGAGTTGCACATCAGAAAAAAAAAAAAAAGAAAAACAAACTGAGATCACGGCAATAAAGTCAAAAATGTTGGCAGAGACCCCTGCAGTAAGTCCCCACCTGCCCAGTGTGCAACACAGGCCTGTAAAAAAATACACTAGTGGACAGAACCGAGAGAGCGGGAGCGAGGGAGAGGGAGAGAGGGAGAGAGGGAGAGAGGGATACAGGGAGACAGGGAGACAGGGAGAGAGGGAGAGAGGGAGAGAGGGAGAGAGAGAAAGAGAGAGAGACAGAGGGAGAGGGAGAGGAAGAGGCAGAGGAGGGGGCAGGATGACCAATGCTTAACCGACAAAGGCGCTGGCCAGTCCCAGGAACTGACTTTTGGCAACTAATTGGACTAAAGGGGACATGGGGTTTCTATGGAAATTAATGCAAACAAGGCTCATAAAGGACGGGACAAAGCGTTCTCAAATTAGGAGCAGAACAGACAGCGTATTTGGTTGTAATTAGAACACTATCCTCCTAATCACATGGCTTCAGCTGTGGGAACGGAATCTGGGTGCGAGTTACTCTGATCCCGGCTCACAGGCTTCGGCTGAACTCACTTCTGTAAGCCCGCCAGCTGCGGGTGACACTTCACAGCCTGCCTTGGGCATCATCAATATTCCGGTCCTCTGCAAACATCAACCACGCTGGGGCGGGGTGTCGCTGTGGGTATGGCGCTCACCTGGCGCGGGCAAGGCCCTGGCTTCCATCCCCAGCGGCGCAAAAGAAGAAAGCAAGTCCTGGCCCCTCACGGGCTGCTCTGGACCAGCCTCTCCTGAGTGGCAGCGAGCCCCGCGTGGGTCCCTGCTGGGCACTGAGCAAGCGAGGGGCACAGTGCCCTCCAGCTGGGGCTGAACCGGGACGGATGAGAACACAGCCAGTGCCCCGTGTGGGCAGATTATCTGCAATTCCAGTCCTCCCCGAGGTCTCTGCGGAGCCGGAAGCAGCGCCTCCTTCCCCGGTCATTTACAGACAGGAGTGGGTAAGAAAGGAGCTGAGTGGCCATCAGGATGCCCCGCTTCGGGCTGCTTTCTGCCCCGCGGTTCCGGCTGGCGACAGCAGGGGGCGCCGCAGGCCAAGCGCGCCGCTGGAGCGCGGGACCG